TGATTAAAAATATCGATATTGATTTAGTAGATAATGCGCACCAAGAGAGAATTGTGACTCACAAAGTAAAGTAAGGGTTCTTGTGCAGCAGTAGTTGTGTCCCTATCCTTAGGAAATGAGGCCCAGGTAGAAGTCCCACCTGCTCCAGAGATGCTTAATAACATCTCAGAACATTTTATTAAGCTGGAGAGGGTTGAGAAGAGATTTACCAGAAGGTTGCCGAGAATGGAGGGTTTGAGTTTTAAGGAGAGGTTGGATAGGCTGGGACTTTTTTCACTGGAGTGTAGGAGGTTGAGAGGTGACCTTGCAGAGGTTTGTAAAATCATGTGGGGTAGAGATAAGGTGAATGGCATGTGTCTTTTCCTTAATGTGTTGGATTTAAAGACTCGGGGGCATATTTTAAGGTGAGAGGAGAAAGATTTAAAAAAGACATCAGGGACATTTTTTTACACAGACATTGCTTCATGTCGGGAATAAAGTTCCAGAGGAAGTGGTGGATGTAGGTACAGTTACAATATTTAAAAGACATTTAGATAAATGAAAGAAATCATTTCAGCCATAAGTTCATCAATAAGAAATGTTTGGAGGAATATGGGCTAAGTGCAGGTAGATGGGACTAGTTAAGTTTGGGATTATGATCGCCATGGACTGGTTGGATTGAAGGGTCTGTTTCCATGCTGTTTGACTCTATGATTCTATAACAGATTGATTCAAAATATTTGCAACTCAATTCACAAGAAAAAACTGTCTTAAGTTCTATGCCACAAAAAGGCTTTAAAAAAAAATGTTGCCGTTTTAAATCAACTCGTCCATGTGAGTTATGACACATCTCTGGAGCAGGTGGACTTAAAACCAAGCCTTCTGGCTCAGATGTAGGGACAATACTACTGCACAACAAGAGCCCACACCAAGGAGTTTAGTTATAAGTTAATATTGGGAACAGATCAGGGTTGCTTAACGGTGCAGATTGGAACCTACGAAGTGAAACCACAAAGATGAAGTGGATACACAAAAAATGAGGTAGATTTGGATAATCTATTAAAACTCATGGACAACATTTCTAAAATAAAGATAACCTGTTAAATGCATCTGAGGCAGGGTAATACTTGGATACGTTTAGATAGCAGAATGGATATCCTACAGAAGAACATATAACAGAATTTAACAGAATTATAACAAAATTATAAAGATTTTCCTTGGAGATACCTAGCTTTGCGAATACCTTTAGATTATTGGACTGTGCTAAGGTACTAAACATGGATGGACTTCGAAGATTAAAAGGAGATACATTTTCAGAAAGAAACATGCTTTTGGAATGGATAGCAGGAGTCTTAAAACAAAATACCAGGCAGAAAATCATTCTTAGTAATGTTCATGGCTTAAATGAAGCATAAAGCAGTAACTCAAAGAATGGAGGATTCAGTGGAAGTGGGAATAGAAGTCTCTCAGATATGGGCTGCACGCATTTGTATGAAGGGAGAATCATAACTAGAAAAAGGAATTTGATACATCCAAAAGGAACTAGCAATCATAGCTGAAAAATATATTTTGGGGCATGGTCAACAGGTCTTTATGTGACTCAAAATAATACTTACAATAGCATTGACAGAATAAAAAGGTTTTTGAAATTACTTGGAAAGTTTGGAAGGAGCAGATGATGACTCTTCTCAGGCAGAAGGAATTGCACTAATGACAAGAAACTTCAGCCAGCAATGTTTTAGTTACAGACTCATTTAATTGTGCAGTTTTGGGTGCACATCCAGAGTGTGGGGAGTAGATTGATCAAAACGTTAACTGAATAATAAAGACTGAAATAAGGTTATGGAGTTTGAGAATTCTATTTGCTTCGGACCTTGGTGATGAAAAAACATTGAACTCCCTCAAAAGAATGATCTTTGCCTGTGAAATAGCTGTGGTTAATTACTTGATCAGCACAGATGTAGTGTTAAATGAAATAGCCGTATTGCTAGAGTAAGCAGTCTATTGAAAAGTATCAAATGAATCTTGACATGGAACATGGCAAACCAATTATTTATGGGAAGTCAGTGGATTTACGTTTTACACAATCTGGACATTATTGCATTCCATTAACAAGACCTAACTTCTCCCATCAAAAAATTAAGTGGGTATTATTATACAAGAGATAGTGGTTTAAAGGAAAGTAAAGCTAATTATCTGCAAACTACATCAGCAGTTTGCCCTTCCATCAATTTACAAATTAAAAATCCTACTAAAAGATGCTGAAATAAGGAATGATATTTCCACTAAACTTATAAAAGAGATCAGTGATAATTGTGATATCTGTTATTAAAAATGGCATACATGATCTTGGTGCATAACGAGACTCCCATTAGCTAGAGTTTTATATGATGTTGTGGAAATAATCTTTACGGTATGGGATAAATGAAAGAAATCATTTCAACCAGCGCTTCATAGATATGGTAACTAGAATTAGAAAACAAACAATAACATAGAGAAAAGAGAACTGAGTAGTTATGGACAAGATAATGGAGAAATAGATAGATCCAGATGAATGGCACTGGTAAAAATCCTAATTCACAATGAAGGGAATTTGTCAATGCTGAAATTAGGGATACGTGTGAAAATATGAACTTTGGTAATGAACATGGTATTAGAAAGTCCCAATAGTGGTGGAGCCTGTGAAGAAAAACTCATCTACTTAACAGTTGAGATGCTTCATAAAATTTTACTGAAACAACCAAGTTGTCAATTAACAATGACCCTGATATGTGCTGTCCAGGTGATGAACTCATTGAAAATTCTTGGGACTATGTCATCTCTTGTTTTGGGAGAAATCCAAAATTCTTTTTGTAGTAAGTGATCATTACAGCTTGAGAAAGGATTACAATTAGCTTGACACTTTCTGAAGACTTGGATGCCTTAAAAACAGGGACAAGGGCATTCAATAATTTTGAAGTTTCAGAAAGATTTTTCCAGGCTAATAGTACTGTATAAGGCCATCAAAACTAAGCTGCAATACAAGGACCAGATATATTACAAAAGACGAGGGATAAAAGATTGGAAAGATCTGGGTAAGGTTATCAGTAGTGATGGAAAAAAGCAGTAATTTTATGTGCAGCACATTAACAGTTGTGGTACATTTCTCAAGGTTAATTGAAACTAATTACACACTTACAGAATCTAAGCAAATCATACAGAGTGATGAGAGACCATGCTTTTCACATTTATACATATTGGACAATTATGAGGACCAGGTATTGGCAGATGTAGGGTTAGCTGACTATGAGAAAAGTGATACAAAAGATGGACGCCTTGTGGATGAGGATTTATCAGAACATGAAGAAAAATAATTGTTAGAATCATTTTGCAAATATGTTATTTCCATTGTTACCGAAAGAATAGCAATGCCTAATGTTGTATTATGATATGTAGAATATGAGAAAAAAAATCATACTGTTTGTTTTCATTAGTTTCTATTCAAACATAGGTTACCAGTCTCTCAAGGTTTTATTGAAAGGAAAGGGGAATTTCAGTGCAACAGAAGTTAAGCTACAACTGGAATTAATTGACTAATTATGTGACTGAATAAGCATAAAGGGGGATCAGGTAGCACTGGGGATGTTACGAGCAGTGTGACTATATAGTCAGTACATATCTTCCACAAGGAAAAGGTGTCTTGAATTCTAATTCAACAACAGGTTTAGTTTTGAATTAACACCTTCTCCATGTGACCACAGTGGAAACAACAATCTGCATGTTCCGGTGGTAATGTTAATTAAGCTTCTCTTAATTAAACTTCTCATTTCTAAAATTACCAGCTTTACACTTATTGCACAGTCCTGCATAATGTAGCTCTGTCTTCCGCAACATTATTGTGATATAGCCTTCTGTGTCTCACAGCACTTCAGCTTTTTCAAATAATCGCTCTCTTTGACCAAGAGATAATTGTTCAATCTGTCTTGTCAAACAACACTAATATCAGAGACAAGCAAAATACTGTGGATGCTGGAAATTTGAAATGAGAACAAAGTGCTGGAGAAACAGCAGACCTGACAGCATCTGTGGAAAGCAAAACAGAATAAATGTTTCAAGCCTGATATAAGTTTTTCTTCAGCAAATGTCAAATACTTTCAGCCTCCATGTGGGTGATCTAAAAATGAAATATTGCATAGTTGGGTCAACATTTTCTATGGATAACTCAATATGGAGAATTACAAGATTAAGAGTTGAGCAAAATTGGACTGTAAATTATGTAATCCATTTTTTGGATTGTCCTCTGTCATTGTTGAAGTCAGTGTTGCATTTAGCACCCATTTCTAATTGCTATAAGAAGCAAGTACACCTATTTATTGTTGAACAGTGCTTGAGAGAGCATCTAGTGCCATTATGCTACTCTGTCTCTTATTGAATGTCCTGTGCAACTTCATGAATGTTGTTCTACAAGTGATGAGCAGAGAATGAAGAATGACCAGATTTAAGCCAAAACTTGTAATGTTTCCAGTCTGAGATGAGAAACTAAATATGCCAATTGGATTTTGTTTGTGTTGTTTCTATTTGCATACTTTAGAAACAGAAAGACCTATCAGCCATCAGTTTTACATTACTTTTCCTTTCATTTGTGCAGTAGCCAGAATTTGAAGATTTCTTTCATATACCTTCTCAATGCTGCTTACAAAAACCTTCTGAAATAAGGAGTGGTTGAATGCATACATCAGAACATTGAGGATTGTTTATGTTTTATAAAGGTATTTCACACAGTCCATGGATGGAGGCAAGGTTTGTTGGGATAGAGTCAACTAAGATGTTTGTTTATTTGACATGATACTGTACAGAAATGTATTTGTGAAAAGATTTATTAACAATTAGATTGTTGATGAATAAAGTTTATTTTTGAAACTAAAAAATGCAAAGAATTCTGTGTTTTTTTGGGGGGAAGCAAATGCATCTGCATCGTCTTCCTCCAACTCTCCACATACAAGAGAAAGAGCACTTATCAATGGCGAACAACAGTTGCAAAAAGTAACATTCAATGTCAACTTGAATGTCAGAATTGAACACTATAAACCATCCTCATGATTTGTGAGAACAAACACTCTAGAAATCCATTTCTCTCAGATGAGAAAAACCTAGAAATAATCCCTAAGAGTATAGTCTGCACCAGCTCCTTAATGTTTTGGTCAATATGTAGAACCAAATGTAAATATATTTTCTGTGGTCAAGCAAAAATAACCCTTTTCTGTTATCCAAGAGCAGTACCTCTCTTATACATACTCTCTGGCAATTAATCCTTTGCTAATAATCAATGGATAGACCCAAGAGAAAGCAAAGAAAAAGAAGAATTGGTGGGAGCAAACTATCTCAAAAAACCCCTTGCCCAGAACCATATACTGATGAGGAGGCATATATTACAAGATGAAAAGAATCATTCTCCTGGAAAATACCACGTGTCATAAGGACTTGGGTGGGGAAAGGGAAAACAGCCCTGAATATCAAAGGAGATAGACCTACTATTCATTCCCCATAGTCTTTTCAACAACATCTATCACACAAATGTGACATGTACCTCTTTGAGATCATGCAATAAACCACTTCTTACAAAAGAACAAAAGCTTTTTCCTCATTAGACTAGCAGGTCTACCACATTTGACAAAGCAGGCCCTCTTGATCCCACCCTCAAAGGACAATGGCGGCAGGGAATGTACCTTCTGGTAACAAACTGTTCAGCTAGAACATGCAAAGTGGTGCCAGTGGTGGTCATTTGAAGATAAGTTTAGCTGCTCTGTTACAGCAGTTTACAGTAGCCGACGGTTTACAGGTAATGGAGGCAGGGTTGTGGGGAGATGGAGAGGGAAGAGATAAGCATTCAGTAACAGCTGACTATGAAAACCTTACAAGGCTTCAACTACTTTTGGTGCACCATTCAATGTAAATGAGCAGTATCAACCATAATTTAAGGTTGTGTTCATCAGGAAGAGAACCATAAAGCAAAGCAATTTAAAACAGAGACATCATTTTTTACTTCAGAACAGGAGCAGCATGGTGGCTCAATGGTTACTACTGCTGCCTCATATTACAGGGACCCAGATTCAATTCCAGCCTCAGGTGACTGTCTGTGTGGAGTTTGCACATTCTCCACTGTCTGCAGGTGCTCCGGTTTCTTCCCACAGTTCAAAGATGTGTAGGTTAGTGAATTGACCATGTTAAATTGCCCCTTACTGTGCAGGCTAGGTTGATTAACTGCAGGAAATGCAGGCTTGTGGAGATAGACTAGAGGTGAGTCTGGGTGCGATGCTCTTTGGAGGGTCAGTGTGGACTCAATGGGCCAAATGCCCTGCTTCTACATTGTAGGGATTCTATGCTTCCATGAAACCTGAACTAGGCCCAAAATGTTAACTCTGTTTTCTCTCCACAGAAGCTGCCATATCTGTTGAGTTTCTCTAGCAATTTCTGCTTCATTTCAGATTTCCAGAATCCACATGGATTTGCTTCATCATAATTTACTCAGCTGGACTGAGGGAAGGAAAGCTAGATGAAAGATGAATTCGTGAACTTGCTGCAAGAAGCATCTTTAATATTTCTCCTTAAATGTACCCACAATAAGTTTTGGATACAGGGCCAATGTGTGTTTTTATTTTGGTTTAGATAGTGGAAGATTCATATTTTGCTCATACTAAGGGGAAAAACTGTATCACTGTCTTTGAATGCACCAAAATTTTTAAAGGGTGAGGAAAGAGTGATCCAACACTTAAATGAAGAAGACTTTGCTTACTCAACCTGTTACTCCATCACTTGGTTGATCTGTCCACTTTAGAGGTGGGCACAGACTGAAAGATAAAATATAAAATCAAGAGTATTTTACTTATTTTAGTCCAATGTTTAGCTGTATTGATCAACTGATCTAGTACTGTGTTTAGAAGTGTCAAAACTCAAGAAGCTTATCCATGAAGTCAACAATTTTGCCCATGGCATCAGTAGCATAACTGTTTGACTGAAAATATTTTTGATAATTCAGATGTTTAGTATGGTTTGATTTTACCTGGTGGTATCAATGTATTTTGGTTGTTGTGTATTTGTTTTATTAAGGTTTTATTACCTCTATCCATACCAATGGTAGTTAGCTGGGGTTGGGGGACTAGCAATTGCTCATTATATTTGCTTGCAATGAGGAGCATTTATTGTCATTTTTTGGCTAATTAAGCAATTATCAGCCTCCATAAAGGCTTTCAGAATTTATTTTCCTTTTAACGTAAAGTAATTTGAAAAAATGTGGGAAAATTTCATTACCATTAAAATGGAAACGTTTTATCTTGATGCTTTGAACGAAATGTGAAAAATGCTGTGAGTAATCGATATTAACTGAATAATGGATTGTTTTCAATAAAGTGAAGAATTTATTGTTGATTTCATAATGACAAATCACTAACTCAAATTATATGCAGCTAAGACAACATTTGTACATAAAAAGAGCCAAATTTTAAAGTGTAGAATTCAACTAAATATTGTCACAGTGTGATTGAAATCTTCACATTTAAGCCAACATTTATCAGTTTTGTATTCATGATATATTTTTGAACATCTTTCAGATTCAATACTTTCCTAAAGTGTTAATTAAATATAAAAACTGAAAGAACTGTGGATGTTGGAAATCAGAATAAAAAATAGAAATTGCTGGAAAAGCTCAGCAGTTCTGGCAACATCTTTGGAAAGAAATCAGAGTTAATGTTTACTTCCAGTGACCCTTCCTCAGAACTCCTCAATTTCTGCTTTTGTTATTAATTCAATATAATTTGCAGAAGAGAAAATTTCCACCTTCAAAATGCTGCTCACAGCTCAGATTGGACCTGCAACTACACCTTCACAGGGATGTGGGGATGATGCAGAAAGAGGCAGAGAGAGTGGTTGCTGTTTAGAGTGGAGGCCTGATCAAAGCTGGATACGATGGGGTGAAAAGTCAATGATTCTTGCAAGATAGAGAGAGTAGCCATAATGGTTAGAGGGTTAACTAAAGGCTTTTGTGGAGTTGAGCAGACTTCAACTGGGCACATGGGGTAGGGGTAAGCATTCCTGGTCATTAAGATCTGCTTTTCAATCAATTCTGATGTGGAGCTTGCAGTGGGAATGAAGCAAAATACTACAAATGTTAGAAATCTGAAAGAAACTCAAAGAATACTATAGAAACTTAGCAGGTCTGGTAGCATCTGTGGAGAAAGAAAAAGAGCTAACATTTCAAAGAATCATAGCATCCTTACAGTGTTAGCAGACAATCAAATCCATACCGACCTTCCAAAGACCATCCCACCCAGACCCACCCCTCAACCCATCTAGTCTGCAGATCCCTGGACACTATGGGCAGTTTAGCATGGCCAATTCACCTAACCTGCACATCTTTGGACTTTAGGAGGAAACTGGAGCAAATCCACACAGACACAGGGAGAATGTACAAACTCCACACAAACTGTTGCCCAATGCTGGGATCAAACACAGGTCTCTGCTGTTGTGAGGTAGCAGTGGTAATCACTGAGCCACCATGCCACTAGCTGTTTTAGGGTCAGCTTTGCAATGTTTACAATGAAACTTAAAACAGGATCCAATTTGCACTGTGGATATTGATATAAATACTTCAAATAACTGACCAGCTCCTCCTAGTGTGGCACAGATACACTGAAACCTGCTGCTGTGTAAATGGTACTAGACACACCTATAGTTGCTTAGGGTTATTATTCCCATTTCTAAAACTTCAAACTCTTAAACCTTTCTCACTTGGTATCGAAGTTCATAATTCCAAGATTAAGTTACTCAAAATCACCAGATCTTGAGGAACAGCACTGTGTTAGCAAGAAAAATTATCAGGGCAACATCAGATGTGAAACAGGGTTTGAAACTTGATGGTCTCAACCCAGCAGGGGTTCACGAGCACCTGAGGGTTCATAAAGTTAAATCACTTCTACCACAGATTTCGTACAAAACATTTTGAAATATAAAGCTTTTATATTGGAGACTGCTTCAGAAAGCATAAAGATATTTTACTAACACTAATTAATAAGCCTCATCCCCTAAAACCTTCAGTATGCACTGTTTCTCTCTGCATGGTTAGTTTAAAACTTTCAGGCAGAAACAGGGATTCCATGTTTAATCATTTCACTGATAACTCGACCATAAAGATACATGAACATCTAATTTGTGGAAAAGAGAACATGCAATCCTACTTTAAATGTTTTAGCCAGTGAAATTAACTCGGCAGTGTAACAACTTAGACTTTAAACTGTGCTAATTTGCAAACAAAAATATTTGTCTCTTTTTCTGAAACATCGATCATTGATTAGATAAAATAGCCGTTGATTGTTTTTGTGTTGATACCAAATGCCACACCAAGGAGCCTTCAACTCATTGACCAGCACTTTCTTTTCATCATGCAGTTGTCTATCTCATGCTTTGCATAGGAATCTGCCTTAAGAGATCAAATCAAATTCATAGAATCATAGAAACCCTACAGTGCAGAAAGAGGCCATTCAGCCCATTGAGTGTGCACTGACCCTCTGAAGAGCTTCCAACCCAGACCCACTCCCCCACCCTATCTCTGTAACCCTACATTTACTTGTTACAATTCAACATTGCAATCTGAGTTGAGATTTTTGAAGCTCAGCTCTTCATGTTAAATCCAGTCTCAGAGACAACATGCCCACTATTGATTTAATGCAATGCATTTGGACATCGGTACCTTAATTTTAGAACTGGAAAGAATTTGTGTAGTTATGATCCACATTATTAATTTAAACAGATGAACCTTGTAAATATCCTGCAGAAGGGATGACACAGCTACTAGGGTATTTTGTTCATCTTCATGGAGCAGGGAATGATAGAAAATCAGATGCACGCTGCGATTATAAAAACCTCATCAAAATCACATGAAGTTTTAGAAGTCGTTTCTCTTTACATGCTTTACAAGGATGTAGAATCTGAGGAAATATTCTCCAGTTGGTGAAAAGTCATGAGTCATGGTAAACTGAATCAAAATGACAAATCTCTTATCCAATCCATTTAAAATAAAGGATCTCACACAAGTGACTCCATCTTCCTTCTTCAACGCCTGCATTAAAATTTATTTTATCACTCAGAGTAGAAGGTTTACCTTGACTGTGTCTACAACAACTTCTG